GAGGCGGCCCTTTACGAGCGCAGCCTGGAACTGCGAGAATGCCGCAGCCGGTTGTCCCAGTACGATGCCACGTATTCCTTCACGTCACCACTACCGAAGAGCGCCCTACCCATCTCCTCAACGCGGGGCAGCCCAGCTGGTGCTGTGTCCGGCTGCGACTCCGTCATCATCTCCCTGGACTTGTAAGTTTACGGATTTCCTGTCGGTTGCCCGACCAGACCTTTCCTTTCCGTCTTCATTTGTGAAAATGCGTAGGCTACTAGGCAAGTAGAAAAACGGCCACATTATCATATGCCGAGGTACTTAGATGTATGGCTAGCCTCATCAGTGTCTTACGGGAGCGGTGTTAATAGAGATTTTATGGCTGAGTTATATCACAGGAAAGAAAAAATAAATCAAAAAGTTTAGCGTATAAATGCAGAAAATAATGTGAAATAACTATTTTAATAAACAAAAAAATTGTGTGCGATAATTAAAACGGCAAATATAACCAATATGAAACAATATCTTCGCAAAAGTACCTGCATATAGGCCACAAACCAATATCTTCTCTATGTCAAAGTTTAGAGATTAAAATAAAACCAAGAAAGATAGGCCTTTCCCCCATTAGTTGAAACTCAAAATAGCTTCTCATGCATTCGGCTAGACCTTGTAGCACGATAAGCTGACAAGCAACCCTAGGTTGCTAAAAAAAAATAAATTGAATTAAAATAGGCTATAACTAAAATTAAATTAAAAACCAAACGGTAAACTAAAACTAATAAAACTAAATGTATCCACAGGAATCTAAATATTTTAGACTTTAGGAATGCGGAACTAAGCATAACTACGCCTACTGAATTAAAGATAGTAGGTGTATAAGCATATACATAAAATGGCTTCGGTATATGAGAATGTCACCAAAAAAGCTGGTTTGGGTTTGCAACAGAGCGTCGCCTCCGTTGAATTTTACTAATATAGGAAACAGGCTTTGCAATAAGAAGCGCAACATTATCCTGACTGCCTTTTGCCTTGTCAACAGTCTGAGTGCGGCGTGTAGAAATAGCTAACCTCCCTGTGTCCCATAAGTTGTTATGCATGAACCGGAAAAAAGTTTCTTGTGTGATTGATATTTTTTTCTACTTTTGCTGTATTGACCTTTTGCTGGTTCACTGACGTCGACATGTTAACACATGCCCCCTTTGAGTGTATTGCCGCCGTATACGGTTTCTGTTGTGGACCTCTTTCTGTCAACTATTTCGATAGAGGGGTGTTTCTACAAAGTTTTTTTTGGCCTTGGGGCTCACCAGGAAAATCGGAGTTTGCTCCTGCATATGAGCATTTGACAGTTGTGGAGGGATGAAGCAGTCTGTTTCAGTCAGATATTCGTAGCTTTTACACGGTAGCGAATTGGTGACGCGGGCTGCGTATGCTGCCGAACTTTGTCATTTATTCTGACCTTACTACTGAAATTGTTTTCGGTAGGCGCTATAGCCTTCATTAAAAATAAATTGCCTGTAAAAAAGGCGCGCTGTTGTGATTTGTTACCCGAGTCAACTTCCTAGACTGGACTGCTTAATTTTGGCTTCAGGTAGTTAGGGAGAAGAGGGAGGGGGCTAACCATTGCGCTTAACGCAGTAGTAGTGGGAGTAGCAGCAGCAGTGACACTCTCGGTCATCATTTGTCTGTCTTAACAGCGGCTGAAATTGAGTGCGGGTAGGTAGCCCGGTGGTACCTGGGGTGCGGTGTTTCTGGGCTGCATTATAGAAATCGGCAAACGCTTGATCGTTTTTGGTCTTCTTGACCCCTTGTGAAGGTGTTTCATGCGGTGACGCCGGCTACGTACACTATCACTGAAAACTAAACCCTACCTCCAGTTACCCTACCTGTTCCAACCTGTTCGG